ATTATGAGATAGCTAAGTCATAATTATGAGATAGCTAAGTCATAATTATGAGATAGTATCTCATAATTATGACTTAGCTATCTCTGAGATAGCTAAGTCATAATTATGAGATAGCTAAGTCATAATTATGAGATACAAGTTTTATTTTTTTTTATCAGGGTGGCGTAAATGGGCTTCCATAGAATGGAGATAACACCTTAGTTAAACAGAATAAAAATGAAACAGATTAATATGATCAAACAACATAGTGAAAAAAAACAAAGTAATGACTGACTGAACCATATTTTTGATAAGAATAATTTATTCATAAAATATTCGTCTGACATTAGCAAAAGAGTAATATTTACTTTGTTATACTCTCAGTTAATTACTTGTTATTTACGTGCACCATCTCAGTGAGATTGATTGGTTGACTCCGCCCTTCTCCGACCTGTCAACCAATCAGCGCTCGCCGTTTACGACGTAACTCCGGCTGGTTACGTGCTCTTGTGAATCTGAGGCCAGCGGAGCCACAATGCCAGGCGGGGGAGCCCCTTTCTCAGCAGCACAGCGACACAGCATCACCGCCTCGCCTCTCTGAAACCAGGCAGACGGGAGAGAATGCGAAGGGATGTAAGATGGCAGAGCTACAAATGCTTTTAGAGGAGGAAATCCCGGCCGGTAAAAGAGCGCTCGTGGAAAGCTACCAGAACCTGTCTCGTGTGGCGGAGTACTGTGAAAATAATTATGTTCAGGTAAGAGGCGCGTTTTAAAGGCCGCTGTAACCGAAAAAAATATATCTTTTATCCGCCCTGTCGTGTCTGCGGTGTTGTAGTTGAAGCGAGAGAGAAACCACAGGGTCAGGAAATGCTGGTCGCAGCGAAAGCGACTTTCAAACCGCTAAGCCTGAAGAATCGGCCTTGTGTCTCAGCGTCGAGCCGCCCGGGCGTCGTTCTTTTCTCGGCTCGGTGTCGCGGTAAGCTCCGAGCTGAGCGCTGCTGGGGGCTTTCAGAGGGTGTGTCGTTATTATGACTGACGATCCAACGATGGATACCTTCAACAAAATAACACCGACCTCATTTTACCGTCACGTTGTACATTTGAAACTGTTTCTACATGAATTACACAACATTTGTAGCTACGCTATAACAGCCATTGCGATTTAATCTGCGTTTAAAATATAATTATCCTATAAATTGAACAAATAACGATTTAAATTGGTTTTCTTCTTGGTAAGGAGCTGCTTATCCTGTAGAATTTCTCAAGTGGACCAGTTTAGCCATATTTAATTAAATAAAAAAATGTAGCATATTTCTGCTAAGGTCGGAATTCATGTGTGAAGTGTAACACTTAGTGGTAATTTTACGTGTGTGTACGTTTCCATAGATGAAATATCTATAAAACATTTATTACATTATTATTATTTTTGCTATGAATGTACACATTTCATACGGACAGATTGAATCAGTCTAATACATTACTTACTATATAAGCTATATAAAGATCAAACTGTAAACAGTTCTGCAGTAGAAACAAGTCATTTAACCAGCTGAAAACTTTGTTTTTGTTTTTGACAAATTAAAGTCATTATTGGTTAAATTCAGACAATGTTAAATGTTGAAGTCTTAATTTTAAAATAAACAATGTGAATTATATAGACATTTAGTGCCTTATATAAAAAAAATGAATTAATTTGTACTTCTGCTTAACAGTATTACACAATATATGTTGTAAACATATTTACAACTAGGAATAGGGATGGGTACCTTTGACGCTTGAATCGATCCAGTACCAATATCTGGTACCTGGGAATCGGTACCGGTACTTAACGGTACCAACTTTCGGTACTTTGTGTGTGTTGTTTTTTTAATAATAAATTTTTTTTTATTTAACATATTTCTCAATATATAAAATTAACAAATATCAAGACGACATCCAACTCTTTGTATTGTAACATCAGTTGTGTAACTTATTTCTTAAAGTGAAAACTCACGAAAAAAACAAGACTGTTTTGTCTTATTGCACAAATTAAAATCCAGCTCCACATGTTTCTATTGATGTTATTTCCCCACTAGAAAAATTGCGTGATGGAGGTCTACGGAAGGCAAATAAGTTTAATTTAAATCAAATAAGCAAAAACAGGATGGAGTTAAAATAAATAAAAGGTGTTCAAGCTACGTTTTGAGCATCCAAAACATGCCCAACGCTTCAAGTTAGCTGCTTGTGCTCCTTCAGGTCAGACGTGTTCGGACTGTCGGGAAACGCCTCTATTGTTTTCCTCTGCTGGTCTCTGTTTAATGGTGGATAAAATAAAGAAAGTGGCGGTACTTTATTTACTTTGAGCAAGCGAACGTTGTGCTCACAAGATAATTAATCCACCAGATAATTCAGAGGCGATCGGTTCGGCGAGTTTTACTCCAGGAATTGCGAGGCTCTCATGCTACATTCAGACCGAGCTCTGCCTCTGTTTACTGAACCAGCGGTAGGGTTGGGCATAATCGTATCGTGTGTGATTAATCGTCACAAAAACATTAATCGATTAATTTTTGGCACTTGACAATTAATACGATTAATGCCAACAGGTAGAGTCCGCTCGGTGCTCCTCTCAGCTTCAAATATGACGAACATTAAAAAAAATTCTGTAATTTATTTATCAACACAATTTAAATTTTGATGTGTAGCCTGAAGTCTGTGATTTTGACACAATTTGGAACAGATTTTTATGAAGAGCAAATCTTTCCCACTAAATTGGTCATGTGACCAGGACATAAGGGTGTCCAGGGACTCCAGGGGATTAATCGTCAAATTAATCCTTATCGGCTAAATACCACAATTAATCGTGATTTATTTTTTTGCCAATATTACCCAACCCTAACCAGCGGCTGCTGACGTCATTACGCTCTTGCGTGATGCTGCGTTCAGGACGAGCATGGAAAACTCACCACTCTTACGCCAAACCGGTCGCAATAATGCGTTTAGGTACCGAAACATGGTACCGTTTGATGTTACGTGAATAGGTTCTCGGTAGTACCGACAGAATTTGGTCTGTACTTAAAAAAGTATTGAATTCGGTACCCATCTCTAACTAGGAATGCACTGATATGAAAATTTCAGCCGTTATCAATATCAGATATTTTTGGTGTTGTGGCCGATAACCAATATTTACTCACTTACAATATATACACTTGTCTTTTTTCAGTACGATAAAAACACAACCAGACCACTGTGATGGCGCTCTACTTCAGTTATTCCTGGCTGCACAGCATCACTATCATGATCAAACAGATACACTCAACCAATTATATTCCCTCCTGAAACAGAAACACAAAGCTAAAAAAGTGAGAAATGAAAATCGGACGATAAAGGGCTCGACGCACGGGCAGCGACAAACTACAGCGATTAACGGCTGTCATCGCAGCCAGGGTGAAACCCGACACACGGGACGCGATAGCGATCGCAGCGTTGCGAATCGCGCTCTCAGGTCGCTTGTCTTCACAAAATTTGATTGGTTCTTGACTCTGAAGGCGGGTGTGCATTACGGACGTGTAAACTAAACAAATCTTGCGATGCTAATGATACTGGAAAAACAAACACACATCAAGATACAGTTTTATGAGGAAAAACTTACCATAAACTTCACCCTGGTGCCAACAAATCCCCACAAAGCTTTTTAGCAATCACTTGGTGAAAGTGTTAGCTAACTGCAGTGTAGCATACTCTCCTCTCATTGGTCAGTCAATGAAACCCTCGCTGATTGGTTGTACGCTAAGTGACAGTGACAAAAGTTGAACATTTTTCAACTTTCATATGCCGCGTCGCAAGCTCGCGTGTGCACGTCTACGTGTACTAGCGCGAAATTTTCACATGCACTATTTTCGCCGGTCACTTAGCTGGAGGAAGGCAAGCGATCGTCGCCTCACCGCACAGGCTCCATAGGAAACGAATGGAGAGCGAGCGACGTCACCTCCCGTGTGTCGAGCCCTTTACTCTGGTTTTGTCCCACAGACCAAAAACATGCGTTTTAGGTTCATGAGAACCTAGGTGTGAGAGAGAGTATAAATGGTTTGTCTTTATGTCCCTGTGATGGACTCGAGACCTGTCCAAGGTGTGCCCTGCTTTTTGCACAGTGACCGCTGTGACCCGGAAAGGAAAAGCGGGACAGGAAAATGGATTGATGAATATTTATGGGGTGGCTGTGGTTGAGTGGTGAGGGGAGTTGTTTCTCTAATGCGAGAGTTGGTGGTTTGATTCCACTGCTGTTCGCTCACATGTGTCGAAGTGTCCTGGGCAAGGCACTAAACCCTCACTGCCTCTGATGTGTGTCCCATCAGTGAACGAGTTTGATTTAAAGCACAGATTAGTCTCTGAATTGATTTAAAATCCTTTAGCGTTGTAGAGAGATCTAATACAGTGCTGTGTGTGGTAGGGTTGGACAATTATGGCAAAAATTAATTAATTAATTAATTTTCTTTTCCTGTGCAGTTTAAATTTATTTACATTTAGGCACTGAAAATGGAAATTAACTAGAACACTATAATCTAGAACAGTCCATCTTTACTACATCAAAGTTTATACGATCCTCTATCCATGGTACAAACAAACTGCTGTTATGTGTGGAGGAACCGCTCTACATTAAACCCTCCTTGATCCAAGCTTGGAACTGGCAGTGTCCAGAGACACTCAAACAGACTTATTTGGGCTGTTTTAGCTTGTTTTTGTTGTATTTTTAAGCTTTTTGTATTCCTCTTAGAGCCAACAATAAATTACAGTAAGATATTTTATTTTATGCCATTATTATTTAACCAAGGCTTTTTTAACTTGACAAAATTACGAATACAAATAGACCGAAAAGAGACAAGAGAAAAAGCAGGTTGGCAGGTGATAGTAGAGTTGGTCTTGTCTCCTTACCTCTTCCTCCTCTCCTCTCTGGAGCTGATTGCTGCAGCCTGTCTGGAGGGAAAATAAGAAAGACAAAAATTGAATCTATAAATTTTTGTTTTTCTATCATTATTTCAAAATATGAGTTAAAATATACTGAAATGCTTTTTAAGAGAGGTTTGATTTAGGGAATCAAGTTATTAATCAAATTTTAATTTTTTCAAAAACTCAGTTTCACGTTTTTTTATTTTTAAACATGTCAGAGCCTGCTTTAAGGCTGAGTTATAGTCGTGCTTTGGAGTGCAAGTACGCGGACAAGAGTTTGTTTTTTTTGGTCTGAATCAGAGTTCGATTACACATTCACCTCCCCAAACGAACCGGACTTTCCAGGCAAATAAACTAGAGTTTGATTAAAACGGACTAAACAGGGCTGGTGTGAATACACCCTACAACATGGTTTGTCTAAATTAAATTATGGTGAGATTGTTTTAGCTTTTAAGGGCTCGACGCACGGGGAGCGACAAACTACAGCGATTAACGGCTGTCATCGCAGCCAGGGTGAAACCCGACATACAGGACGCGATAGCGATTGCAGCGTTGCGAATCGCGCTCTCAGGTCGCTTGTCTTCACAAAATTTGATTGGTTCTTGACTCTGAAGGCGGGTGTGCATTACAGACATGTAACCTAAACAAATCTTGCGATGCTAATGATATTGAAAAACAAACGCACATCAAGATACAATTTTATGAGGAAAAACTTACCATAAACTTCACCCTGGTGCCAACAAATTCCCACAAAGCTGCCTTTTTTAGTAATCCCTTGGTGAAAGTGTTAGCTAACTGCAGTGTAGCATACTCTCCTCTCATTGGTCAGCCA